AATATCTGTCTGCTGCCTTAATACTTCACTTATAAATATATGTACATAGATCTATTTCCATATTGTTATATATAAACATATTTACATATGTACATGCCTGTCTTTAGACCTCTATAAATGTCCTTTGCCTCCTAGTTCTTTCCTCTATTTCCTTTTACTTTCCCCTTGTCCCATTATCATGCTTGACCTGATTTGGCTTTCAGTAATTTTTCTTGGCTACATTGCACTTGATCAAGCCCCACCAGGCATCCTATGTCTTCCTCACCATTGACTTTAGATCACTTGTTGTTCCCTTGTCGCTGGGTTTGTTGGCACCTCTCCTTCCTTTCCCCTGCCTCCCTCTCTCCCATGTCCTCCTGGAACTGTCAGTCCTGTTGTTTTCTCCTCCGGATTGTTATCCTGCCTATCTTATCTAGATAGAGATGCAGAGACAATAATAAGCACGAAAACACGACAAAACAAAAACAAAAGAAAACAAAAGACCACCACCAACAAACCAAAAGCCTATAAATAGTTCCAGGTCTGTCTGTTGACCTTTATGAGTGTGTTCTGGTCGAGTCTGATGGGGTGCCATGCCTTGGCCGCAAAGTCTACTTTTGGTATTCCTTGGGGACTTCATTGCTTTGGCTCCCCACCCCCAGCCACTCTGCTGCACGCCCCTAACGTTTCATCCCAGTGTGGTGGGGTCAAATCAGGCACAATTCCTGAACTTTGTCTAACCCTCATTTTTTTTATTTTACTAACTGTAAATTTAACATAATAATGTTATCTGTTTACTGACTGTAATCTTCCAGCCAGGCTCTCCTTCACTTGCACAGGTCCAGCTGCAAAAGGAGGTACCTAGTTTGAGAAGTCACACTCCATTTGCAGATGAATCCATTGTTGTAAAGTGGATTCTGACACATAGCAACTCTGTAGGATAAAGTCAGACTTTCCAACACTGTAATCTTCATGGAAGCAGACTGTTACATCTCCCTGGAGTCTGAGAGGTTTGAATTGCTAGCCTTTTGGTTTGAAGATGGCTGCTTAACCACTGTGCCACCAGGGCTCCTGTTTGCATATTTTTTGATAAAAAATTCTTGTCCTTTCTCATTCCATCCCTCTTTTCAGCTCAAACACAGCATGCTTACTTTCTTCTTAGGAGCCTCCGTGGTGTAGTGGGTTATAGTTGGGCTGGTAACCACAAACTCAGCCATGCCATGGGAGAAAGATGAGGCTTTCTGCTCCTATAAAGATTTAAAAATCCAAACCCAACTCACTGCCATCAAGTCGATTCCAACTCAGAGTGACCCTATAGAATACAGAATAGGACTGCCCCTGTGGCTTTCTGAGACTGTAACTGTTCATGGGGGCAGATTTTTCTCTTAATGTCACATTTTTCTCTTAATGAGCAACTTGTGGATTGAGCCTGCTAACCTTGTGGCTAGCTGCCCAACAGGTAACCCACTACACCAAATCCAAAGGAGCAGTTAGTTCTATTTTGCCTTATTGGGTTGCTATGAGTCAGAATCAACTCTGATGACAGGTTTTTTTGTTTTTGTAAAATGCAGGGTAAATGTATTCCTCATTTTGGTATTTTATGAAGTATGACTCCTAGCATCTTCTGTTTAGAGCAAAGCTGAAGAGAGCTGACAAGGCTTGACTGAATGCATGTAGTGTTTAGCACAGTGCCTGGCCTACAATGAGGGATTGGTAATTATTGGTTGTGACACTTTTTCCCTTATCGAGGTGATTCTAATTTGTCTTGAATCATTTAGCTGTGGTTGATGTCTTGCTTTCTCTTCTGTTTGGTCAGTAACCTGGCATGGGTTTCTGGCATAATCTTTGTACTCCTTTCTCTTTATTTCTCCTGACTTCTACACATCTTTGAGGAAGGCTATTTGGGATAATTCTAAGTTGTAAATAAATGTTGACGCTGAAATCGAGTGGCAGATTTTTAAAAACTTGGTTTCCTTTCGAATTGAACGGGAAGACACCACACAATACCTGGGGCTAACTGGATAACACAGTGTTCAAAAGCTACCGGAAGGCTTAAAAAAGTTAGTGGAGACTTTGAATGAAAAGAGAATGGAATTTCTCCAGGAACTTATTTGGAAGTCCCAGTTTACAGGTGTGTGCCCTGGACTACCAACAGAGTGCAGTGCTGCTGGGGGCTGTTTCCCAGGCTCAGGTCAAACAAACGGCCGGCTGTCCACTTGAGGTCACTTTGAATTCTCCCCATTTAGGGTAGGGAGAATGACCTAATCCCCCTAAGGCTGAGTTTGAAGGCAACGACGTTTTGCTTTGTTTTTCCTTTACCTGGGCCCTTTCCCTTCCCTTTCTGAGTTTCTGGGCCAGCAATCCTCAAACTTGGTTGAGAAACTCAACCTGTTGGAGCAGGCAGATAGGGGTGCAGTTCTACTTGGCTGCGACCCCGCACGTCTGGCAGCTGGACAGCTGCCCCGGGGCCGTTCCCGCCTGATTTAAGAAGCTACTCTGCGGCCTCACTCGGCCCGTCAGTCTCTTGGCAGAGCCTGGTGACCATAAGCAAAGGGAGGAGCTCCGCTGGGCGGCTCCCGTCCTTCCCCTGCGATCAGGCCCTCGGGCTCCGTGACCCATCCCGCCGGGAGGCGTCCATTCCGTTCCCGCGGCTCCTTCCTTCTCCCCCGGCCCCGCCCTCAGCGCTCTGCCTCTGCGATTGCTCCCCGTTTTCAGGCGTGTTTTCTGCAGGGGCAGACTTGCGCCTCCACGCCATCCTGCTCGCCCGCCCGGGGGCCTCCCGCTTCCCGCGCCCCCTGAGGCCGCAGGCCCCGGCGCAGGTAGCTCGGGCGAGGCTCTCTGGGCGGCGCGGGCTCCCGAGTGCCACGCCCACGCCGGGGAGGCGCAG